CTTCAAGAAGAATCACTCTCTTCACTCCTTTGTTCCCTCACTCCAGATACAAAAAACTCCTAAGTGAGAGCATTTGATTGGTAGGAGTTACATCATGTGCTGAAAAAAACAGAATATAGCTGCTATATGGGTGAAAAATATCTGTCTTGTTTAGGTTTCCTGCTTGCATGCTTATAGTAACCCTGACTTCTTCTTAGCTATTATTTATTAATGACCTATGTCACTAAGTCACTAAAGTCTTGTCCACTAAACTATGGACTCCCTGAAGGCAGAACTATCTGTTTTGTTTGTTGCTCATTCCCTTGCACCTACCATGGGGCCTGACACACAGTAGGTGCTCATTAAATGCTTGATAAATGAAAGAAAGCTTGCCACTTCTCACTCTAGTTTGTACATGTTGTCTTCTCAACAAGGAGCAATATTGGCCAGACTTGTAAGAATCAACTGGGATGTTTATTTAAAATGCAGAATTATAGGCTCCATCACAGGTCTGGGAAGAGGCCCAGAAAACTGTAATTTAACAAACGCCCCATGTTATTTAGGTAGCTGAGAGTTACAGCATCATATGTCTCTAAGGCCTGGTCCCCCTCAGCCCAGTTCACTGCTAGCTGAAACCTGTATGGATTATTTTGTAGTCTTCTTGTCTGGGACAAGTGACCCTCATTACTTTCCTCTTTCTCTGGAGGACCTGCTGATCATCCCCTCTAGTCACCTGCAGGATCTTCTTTGCTTCTCCTGATTTCTCCATGACCTTCAAGCATCAGTCCAGCTGTGGACACACAATCACTCTTATGCAGGAGTGTGTAGGGGGGAGGGAGCATCTCACTCACGGGCAGCTCTGGGTAATGGAACTCATGTGCTATTGGTCTCGGGATGGCCAGAAAGGATTTGGTCCCTGAAGATGGGCAGGAAAATGAACATAGAAAGATGGTGATTATAGAAGCCATCCATCTGCTAAGTGCAGATGAGTAGAAGGGATGATAAGTGCCACGGGGAGTAATGTAGGGAGTGAGGCCAAGAACTGAAGCATTCAGGGGTGTCTGCATGGAAGAGGAGTGACCCAAGCTGGGCCTCCGAGAGAGATGGTTGAATCTGGTAAAGAAGTAATGAAAAGGGAAAAGGAAAGAGTATACCAGCCAGCAGGAACTGAGTGAGAAAGCTGTGGAGTTGAAAATGGGCCAGGGTGAGTGTTCTGGCTATCCATTATAAATCACCCCCAAATTAGTGGCTTAAAATAATAACAGTTTGTTCTTTCTCATGGTTTCTGTGGGTCAGGTAACCAGGAAAGGTTCAGCTGGATTGTTCTGGTTCAGGGTGTCTCAGGGTTGCAGGGAAACAACTTCTGGGGTGGGCATCAGCCAATCCTTCAAGAACCCAAATAGAACAAAATGGCAGAGGAAGGGAGAATTCTCTGTCTTATTTCCTATTTCTCAGGGCAACTGTAATATTGAGTCTACATGGTAGCTTGAGGTATGAAGATGCCTCAGAGATGGGGTGGGGTGGGCTTGTTGGGAGGGATGAGTTTGAACTTGGTCTGAAGGCAAAGGGGACCGAAGAAGGTTTATGAAACAGGAGTGAGCTCTGAGTGGCTTTTGGGGAAATAAAATCTGGGTCTGCTTGGGGACAGGGTGAAGAAGGGAGAACTGGTTAGGGGTGCCAACAGCATGCTATTGTTGACTCACCTTGTGAGCCTCTGTGACCCCTGGATCGTTTTCTCCTGTGTCTGGGCTCCTTCCTCCGTTGACATTGCCTTTTCATGTTTACTGTTTCTCTCCTGCCTCCTTCTGTCACTGGTTTTTGTTTGCAGGATCATGATGTTCCACTGGTCTGGAGTACTCTCTGAGGGCCCCTCCCTTCCTCCCTGTGTGTTAGCCACTACTCCTGATGCAGCAGCAGCAGCAGCAGCGTTGATGAGCTCTCTTGGTCCCTCTGCCTGGGTCATGGATTGAGCTAGGTGCATGCTGGTTGTCATCTCAGGAGGCCCCACATGCTCTGATGCCTGACCGTGAGCCAGCCCTGGGAGGTGAGGTCGAAGGACTGAGGGTCCTACCAACAGAGAGTGGGTTCAAAGTCCAGCTGGGCCATCTGCTTGGAGTGCAGCCTTGGGCAAATCACTTTATCCACCATCCTTCGTCTGTCCATTCAAAAAGTATTTCTTGAGAACCTTCTATGCCTGCAAGTGAGTTCTATGCTGAGGATTTTATCAGTAAGAAAGGCAATTTAAGATCCTGCCCTCATGGAGCCTAGTCTCTCAGGAAGGACGGATATTGAACATGCAGCGACCTGCAGGCTGTGTGTTCATGATGGAGGAACAAGGCGCTGACCCAGTGGTTTTCAACTGGGGACAGTCCTGCCTCCCCGCAGTGTGCATTTGGTAATGTCTGCAGATGCCTTTGGTTGTACAGCTTTGCAGTGAGGGGTGGGGGGGTTGCTACTGGCATTTGTGGATAGAGGCCAGGGGTGCTGCTCAACATTCCACAATACACAGGCAACTGCTGCAACTAAGAATCGCATAGCCCCGAATGTCAAAAGTTCAGTGTTGAGAAACACTGCTATAGGAGCAGGGCAGGGGTCCTCAGCTTGGGGAGGAGGGTGTCAGGGAAGGCATCCCCGAAGGAGTAACTACAGAAACTGCAAGGACAGGTTGGCCAGGCAGTGAATATGTCTATGGAAAGGGAAATTGGGGGGACGGAAGAGTGTTCCTGGCAGAGGGAACAGCACTGCAAAGGCCTGGAAGAAACAGAGAACAGGATGCCCTGAGGAACTGAGCAGAGTTCATTGCTTCTGGGATACGGAGAGTGGAGGGGGTTCAGGGGGTGGATGAGATGGCCTGTGTGGTGCACGTGCTTCAGGAATCATGAGCAGTCCTGACATTCAAGGGGCCGGGCCCTGGACCCAGCACTTCATATGCGTTATCTCATAGAATCCTCGTGGCAACCCTCTGAAACATGTTGTCGCCTTGCCCTTTTATGGATGGTTCACAGAAGTGACAAGTTGAAGGTCACGTTGCTTTCGTTGCCACAAAGTCCAGCATCAAACACGTGTTAAGTCCAGGTGCCAAGGAAGGGCTCAGGTTGTTTGTTGATTGAGCAAGTGAGTGACAGAATGAGGAAACCAAGCACAGATCTGGGTCCTAAAGCCTCTCTGGAATCAACAGAAATTACTGTCCTGTGGGGCCTGGGAATTGAGGCACAGTCACAGCTGTCCCCGAGACCAGTGAGGAAATGCCCTGGCACCCAGGTGCGACTCACCTGCGGGGTCCCGAGTTTCCCTGCTTCTCCCGTTCCTTCCTCCCTGCTCAATGGAGAACACATGCCCAAAGGCCACCTCCGTCCTCTGCTCCCTGTCCTGTCACCTCGTCATGGGAGGATGTGGAATCAGGCTGGTGCGCTCTGCTTCTCAAAGGCCACATCGTCATGGCAGGGTCACCTGAGGATGCGGTGACCTACATTGTGCCTTTTCATGGCCTGGCCTTTGGTGTCCTCAGCCACCCAGGAGGAGCTGGTGAAAGGCGTAGGTTCTCAGTCCGCATCCCAGACTCTGGGGGTGGGAAGATCTAAGTCTGTAGGTTGTAAGTTTTCACAGTCTCCCCGGATGACTTTCAGGCAGGCTAACGTGTGGGAATGGCACCGAGAACTGGCAGAACAGCCAGCCTTTTCACGGGCAGCCTGCCTCGTAACGGAGGTCCTGGCATGTCACAGTGATGGCTGCATCCACCGGGACCCGACCCTGTGCTGGGCTCTGGGCTGAACCCTTCCTTGACACTCGCTCTGGGATCCGCAGACATGCTGGCCCTGTTGCCCTCCTTTTACAGATGAGGAAGCTGCGGCCTGACACAGCAAAGTACCTGGCCACCCAGGCAGGGTCTCTGGCTCAAAAGATCTCATAAAAACATAGACCTCATTAAACACAGGTTCTGAAACCTGTTTGTGGCCTGGAGGAGGTAATTTGGTTGAGATCACCTTGTTGGATTGTGAAATAGCCCAGTTTTTCCTCTATTTTCCCCCCTCAGGTCATTTACCGGAGAGAAAAGCCTGCAGAGATGATTGCAATGAGCTCAGGGAGATGGTGTGAATCCCAGCTCCAAGGCAGGAATAAAAGATGCAGAGGTCAGGTAGGTCAGAAAACTCCAGTGAGAAGCAAAACTGGCATCCTCTCTCAGGGAGCTTGGTGAGTTGATCCTCTGAGACCTCCAGGCAAAGCCGCCTTGTACCCAAGAAGTAGACTGATGATGCCAAACTTGTGTGTAAACACAGGATCTTTGCATAGCTGCAAAGACTGAGCTCCCTGGGTTGGATCCAAGACCTGGAAATGCCTTCCGGAAATCCTTGTCTGGCCCCAGACGGTGTGTCGAGGAGGATGCACTGGGGCGGCATGGAGGGCTTTGGTCTGGGGTCCAGGGGGCTGTGTCTTCCCATCTGCTCCCTCCGCTTTGTGTGCTTGAGTCAGTGTCCGTCCCTCTCTGAGTCTGTTTCCCTATGTGATGTTGGGTTTGAACCTACTGCGCTCTAAGGGTCTTCTTATTCTAGACTGAATTCTCAACCTCAGGACCCAACACAGAACAGGTGCTCAGGAAATCTGCCTTGAATGAGCGAATTTGCTTCTCCTCTTCCTTTCCTGGAACCGAGGTTGGCGTGGTGCTCAGCTCCTTCTGCCCACTCTTTCCCCCGACACTGACCCTCAGCGGCGGTCCGATGCTCCCTCTAGAGCCCGTGTGCCGCCTGTGTGACCCCCCAGCCTCCAGGTCACGCCACTGGCACTAGCTCCTTACTGCCCAGAGCTCGCTCTCTTTCCCCCACCGCCTGCAGCCTGTCTCTCTGACCCAGCCCCTGCAGTGCATCTGGAGGGGTCTCCCCAGAATACAATCGCAACCAGCACATCCCTCCTCCCAGACCCCAGCCTTCCCACTGGCGCCTCTCTCACAGTTGCCCCCAAATCACCTCTCGGTCCGGTGCCCGCCCTTCTCTCAAATCCCGGCCCCTCGGAGTCCCACGGCTCACCTAGGAATGTTGGAAGGAGCCGAGGTAGGATTGTGTCTCCAGTAGCTCCTACCCGGACCATGGTGCATGCGTAGCGCCGCCCATGATGCAGGGCACATCGCGGTGTTATAACTGATGAGGTGCGGGAGAGGCGGCAGGGGCAGGGAGCCCACCGTGGGTTCTCCTGTGAAGGGCAGTGGGGTGCTCAGCCCTTTGCCACGGTCGCTCCACTGGCCAGCTGCGTGGCTGCGGGGGTCCCTCAGCCTCTCTGAGCCTCACTGTCCTCCTCTGTGAGGGGCTGGTGCGACTCATCCTCTTGGGGGTGCTGCGAGGATCACCCATGGCAATGGGTCCGAAGCATGAGGGCACTTTGCCTGCACTTGGTGCTACTGTGGGGTGTTACCACGGAGGGCTGGCCCCCGCCCAGGGCCCGCGGCCTCCCTGAATCCTTCCACTTTGAGCTGCTCCCAGTAATGGGCTGCGTGGTTAGGCTGGCTGCGTTTCAGATTTCGGCTCCAAGGCACACATCGACCTGGGCTGTGCTTTGTGAGGATGGATGAGTGGACACCCAGCCACTCTCCAAACTGGATCTCGGCGTTTAAATGATTAATGTATTCAGGCTGCAAATAGTACCTTGTGTCCCAGGGCCTCTGGGGTGCTTGAGAAAAGATCCAGCCCCTTGAGCACTTTGAAACAGGAGGCTAAAGCCGGGGATATGGTTCTCTTTGCTAACTTTAGGGCCGGGCACTCCCTCGTGTAAATAGGAGGCTGCAGGGTTGGGGGCAGGGCCCGTCTTCTCTTCCATCCAGGTTTGAGGTTTGGGTTCCTTATTGGTAAACTGGAAAGAAGCCTGGGTTAGGGATCACTGTGTGGACTTGGGTCTTGACGGTCTCACCAGCTGGTTGTGTGACTGTTCCACAGTGCATCTTCCCACTTGCGAGATGGAGACTTCAGTCTTGCTATGGAAAAGCTCTTTGGGAACTAGGAAGCGAGCAGAGGGCAAGCACTTCTGGGTTCGGTGGTGGACTCTGTGCAGTGAATAAAAATTGCTTGGGGCCGTCTGTATGTTCTTAGCTCAGAGAGGGCCCGACGGGGCGTCAGTTAGCTCCCAGCTTGTCCTTGTCCCTGAGCTCAGGGCAGAGTCTCTGGGTCTCAAAGATGCTCCCTGACCTCTCTTCATCCTTTGGTACCCACGACAGGCCCGGTTCATGGACATGATCATTGGAGAGATGAGGGCACCCTCTGCAGTGGTGAAGACTGTATTATCACCCAACCCCACATGGAAAAATGTGCTGCATAGAAACCTCTGCAAATAAAGCTCATCTTGCCTGGAGGCGACCCCTTGCTCTGTGATCCCCTGAGGGCAGGGACAGTGGTGTGGAATTACACTTTATTCATTTCGTTTAGATGCCCCACGCTAGCTCCACCCACAGGAACGTCCATCAGAGCGAGCAGTGCCTGGAAGGTCTGTATGAGCACAGAGCCGACAGGTGCAGACAGGTGGATGCACACGTGCAGTCCGTAGGCCTGCAGTTGTCACCTGAAAGTTTTGGAACAACCAGGCCCCTGTGTGGGGCCTGTCTTTCCCCCTGTGTTTCTCCCTCTCGTCTGGCTCACTGGTTTGCTAACTTTACTGAACCTAAGAGTAACCCACGCAGAGTTCCGCTCTCCAAACCACTGCAATGGTTAGTATTTTCCAGGGAAAGTCTGACTCTGGGTCTAGTGCCCATCCTAGGCGCCGTCTCCCCAACCTCCATGTCATGTGCGATTCTGCTGTTGTACACACCCCTCAATTGCTGCTGTAACTGTGATACCTGGCACAGTGCTTGGCATGTATTATGTATGATGCGTGCGTGCATGCTCAGCCATGAGCTCTTTGCGACCCTGTGAACTGTAGCCCACCAGACTCCTCTGTCCATGGGATTTCCCAGGCAAGAGTACTGGAGTGGGTTGCCATTTCCTTCTCCAAGGGATCATCCCAATCCAGGGATCGAACCTGGGTTTCCTGCATTGGCAGGCGGATTCTTTACCACGGAGCCACCTGGGAAATCATTATATACAATAATCGCCCAATAAATGTTGCTTGGTTTACCTGGTATGTTAATTAATGGAGCAGACAAACCTCTAAAATCTCAGTGGCTTCAGATTTAAAAAGTACATTTCTTGCTCGCAGAAGGTCTTTTCTCCATCTGGTGACTCCAGGACCTCCGGGTTCTGTCATCTCCACTGTGGCCCCGCAAGTGTCCGTGGCACAGAAGGAAGAGAAGGGGGAGGGGCGATTGCTTGTCTCCGTTTCAGCCCCCAACGCACACATCCCCATGGCTTGGGATCCATGTGCCAGGGCTGGTCATGGCAGCCCCAAGTTGATGGCAAGGTGGGCTGGCAAAGGAGGGGAGCCCCTGGACTCTTCAGAGCCTCTCATTGCTACTCCACAACCAAGCCTTGACCAGTGGGTGGCCCTCTCTGATCCAGCGCGGGCTCACCGAGCAGCCTGGCGTGCATGCCTGGAACCCCCCGAGGCTTTGCAGGCTCCTCCGTCACGCTCTTCTCCAGCAGCACAGGGAGGCAGGGGTGACTCACTCCACTCAGCCGCTGGGGCTGCTGGGGCTCCGTGTGGCCAACCTCTTGTCTGAGGTCCAAGGTCACATGGCTACCAAGGGTCAAAGCCGTGACTCAGACACGGGTTTGTTTCTTATCTCCAGCTCTAGTGCTTCCTCCACCACGGTCCAGATGTCCCGCGGGCACAGTGGTCCAGGGGCTTCAAGGCAGAGAAGGGACGAAACCTGAGACTCTTCGGGAACATGAAAGATAGGGAAAGGGTCAGAGGCAGCCGGGCAGTGGCCAGAGAAGTGCGTGTACCACCCCCTTTGTGTATGTTGTCTGGGAAGGAAGCCCAGGACCGAGCAAAACAAATACATTTACAATGAGAGGTGAAGAAAGGAGGTGTCTTCTAAATGCGACTCAGTTTCTGGGACACTCAAGAGAGTCACTTAGATTTTGCCTTGTCCTTGAGGAATGAGGACCGTCTCTCCATGCTCTCTGATTATTTTTGAAATGAACATATCCTCCACCCCACGTAGAACTTGTTATTCAGAGTTCTCTTTTTTCGCCCGTCAACTTCTTTTTTGGTCTAGTTGAATGCCAGAGGAGATAAAAAATATATACAGTAGGAAGCAAAACAAAAAAAAGAGAGAATCAGCTTCACTTTTCAACAAACTACCTTTAACAAGTGGGTTCAGACTTGTTGACAGGTCTTGGGCCACTCTTAGCAAACCTTTAAGAGGCTCTGTTCTGAAATTGGTAAGCACAGTTTGGAGAAGTGGAGCCGTGGAATCACTGAAGGTGATCCTTTTTTCACCTGGCAGAGCCCTGTCTGTGTGCAGTCCTCACACCCGCTCTTCCGGTGCTCACCTTAGCGGATGACTGCCCAGCCAGGGCCTGTCTGGAAGCTGGGGAGCCGGCTCTGCCAGGCACCTCCACTGGGTGACTCTAGGATGACTGCTTGGCGCCGGGCAGCTCTGACCGTGAGAACATGCACCTTCTCCACATCTGCCTCCCTGGCTTTAGACTCACACGCCCTCGTCCTGCCCCATTCGTCTTTCCCGGGACAATCTACAGGGGCACCTATTTCATCAAATTTCTCATGTCATGTAAAAGAAGTCACTGATTCATTTCCACAGAACCTGGAGCCTTGAACCTCAAGGTTGTGTTACGTTGCGTCATGGTGGCAGCCATCGCCAGGGAGGTGTGGACACCCAAAGGACAGGACTTCAGTCCTGAGGCCACACGTGTGGCCGCAGCGTTCAGGGACGTTGGATGCACAAGGGTGTGGGTTGGCAGAAGCTCTTGCAGAACGCACATTGCTGTCACTGTGATCCTGTCACTGAAACTTAAACCCACCCACTGCTCCTAACACCCTCAGGGTGGAATCTTGCCATCCTCATGGGGTTTCCAAGGCCTCATCTCCGCTTCAACAAGCTCCCACTCCATCCAAACACTGAGTTGCTCGAGTCGCCTCCACGCACTAGGCTGCCTCCCACCTCACTGCCTTTGCTCCTGCTGTTCCTGCTGCCAGGCCCGTCCTTCCACCCACGCATTCCTATGCGCACGCCCTGTGTGACTCCTACTTGTCACCTGAGATTGAACTCCTCCTTCCAGAGGCCTCTCCGGCCATGCTTTGTCCGCCTGTCTGGTTTCAATCTCACGCAGTCCTGTGAGTGCTGGACCAGAAGGAGAGGGTTTCCTTCCAACCAGCATGGGGCCCGGTCCCCCAGGAGTTCAGCAGACTGATTGATGTAGTGAAGATCAGATTTTCCTCACGGTAGCTCACATCTCAGATCCCATCCTGCATGTATGCGTGCTCAGTCACTTCAGTTGTGTCCAACTCGTTCTTTGAACTGTGAGGAGATCAAACTAGTAAATCCTAAAGGAAATCATCCCTGAATATTCATTGGAAGGACTGATACTGATGCTGAAGCTCCAATACTTTGGTCACCTGATGAGAATAGCCCACTCATTGGAAAAGACCCTGATGCTGGGAAAGATTGAAGGCAGGAGGAGAAGGAATCAACCGAAGATGAGATGGTTGGATGGCATCACTGAATCAATGGGCATGAGTTTGAGCAAACTCTGGGAGATAGTGAAGGACAGGGGAACCCAGCATGCTGCAGTCCATGGGGCCGCAAACAGTCAGACACAACTGAATGACTGAACAGCAGTGTTTGTACTCCACTCTAATGGCTGGTTCTCGTCCAACACACAGGACCAACCAGATGGCTGATGCCCATGCGGGCCCAGTTGTCTGGCTCAGGGGCAGAGATGGGTCCTACACCTGAAGCCCCTGTTTCCTGGGGGCCAGGAGAGTCTTGGCTCAGAACACAGACAGGACCATCTTGCTACTTAAAGGCTGTGATCTGGCAAGTATCTCCAGCTCTCCATGTTTCAATTTCCTCATCTGTGAAATGGAATCTCGTGAGGATTAAATGAATTGATAAAAGCCAACCACTTAACCACTTAAAACCTGTTTTAAGTGGCACAATGCAAGAGCTACATAATCGCCATTTATCATTGGCATTGTTTTTATTCTTCTCTCTCCTACTATGACATGTCATTTCTAGGCAGAATATCCCCACTCCTCCCTAAGTGCACTCTCTGTGACATTTTTCTGTTACAGGGTTGGAGTTTCACAAGTCATCATATAGTAGAGATTATAGCTCTACTGTAGTAGAGATTATATTGTAGTAGAGATTATAGATCTACTATGTATCAGGGGGTTGCCTAGGGCTCAGACAGTAAAGAATCTGCCTGCAATGCAGGAGATCGCCTGCAATTCAGGAGATCCGAGTTGGATCCCTGGGTTGGGAAGATCCCCTGGAGAAGGGAATGGCAACTCACTCCAGTATTCTTGCCTGGGAAATCCCATGGACAGAGGAGCCTGGTGAGCTACAGTCCCTAGGGTCACAAAGAGTCTGAGTGACTAACTCATTGCTATGTTTCAAGCCTTTTGTGTTTCTAACAACCATCCCTCAGTATGTCTTATTACCACCAGTTTTCAGATTAGAAAACTGAGGCCCAGGTTCCCACGCTGGCCAGAGGCAGAGCCCGAATCGAACGGGGGTCAGTGCTCTCTTCACCTCCACTTTCACTGGCCGCTGCGGTGCTCGCACTGGTCTGTCCTCCTTGGGGCTTCCTTCTATGGGCGTGCGGATCTCACTTTGATGGCATGCCCACCCTCTTCAGCAAGCGGCAGTGGCTTTGGTGAGATGCGTGGACTTGATTTTCCAGGTTGTCACTGCTACCGATCTTGCGAGGCTGGGAAGGCCAGGACCCCGTCCCTCGAGTGGTCAGCGCAGGTGGTGGTCACCGTGGTAGTCACGGCACTCCTCCCCAGGCCTCTGGGAAGTCCTCTCAGGGAAGCTGGCCCTTTGCCTTCTTCGTTCATTGCCAGGCATTTTTGGAGCCCTACTGTGTGCCAGGCCCTGAGATAAGTGGAGTAGCAAGTGCAGAGATCCTGTGGTGGGAGGGGGTTGGTGTGTTGGGGAATGGAAAGGAGGCCAGCATGAGTGGAAGCTGGGGGAGCGGGAGATGGGCGTGGAGGAGTGGGTGGTGGCCAGAGCTTGGTGGCCCCTAGTGCCTGGTGGGGCATTTGAGGTTGTGTTCTAAATGCGGACGCCCTTGGCTGTTCTGAGACTGTGAGACCCAGTGTGAGCTTCTTGGTTGGTCCCACCCTCACCTCCCCCCGCCCCCCCCCGCCAAGGGCCCCTCCCTTCTTGTCCTCCCCACCCCCTTAGCTACTCAAGCTGGACCTGCAGAGTCATCTTCAACTCTGCCTTCAGCCTCACCGTCTGTTCACATCCCCTTCTAGAAGTTTCTCAAACCCATCCCTTCTTATCCAGCCCTGGGCCCCTGCTTTGGGTTAAGGTCAGGGTCGGTGTTCCTCCCCTCTAGATGACTTTGCTGTCGCCCTTCTCCTCCAACTATTTCCAACCTCTGTTGACTTCCCTGGAATCCATCCTTCACAGACCCCCTCAGACTAAAATCAGGCTGTGTTTTTCCCCACCTGCGGAACCTCCCATGGCTCCCCAGTCTATGCTGTGCTGTCCAGCGAGGCAGCCCCTAGACACAGGTGGCCATGTAGATGTGGGTTAGCTAACGTGAGATAAAATGTAAAATGCACTTCCTCGGTCCCATGAGCCACATCTCAAGTGCTCAGGAGCCACACGTGGCTACCATATTGGAACGCATGGGTATAGAATGTTTAGTCACTGCCAAAAGCTCTGTCTGGACAGTGCTGGACTTTATGAGCTAAAATCCAAACTGGTTAGCCTGGTGCTTAAGGCCTTAAGCAATCTCACCTCAGCTGGCCTATCCCGGGTCATTTCCCACCAGCCCTTCCCATGCACACAGCAGCAGCCACATCACGTGACTCTACAGTGTCCGTCACACCTGTGTTCGTGTCTTGTGTTTCCTTCTAGGGTTATACAAGCACATGCAAATATGCATGTTGTGGGTGCAGATGCATGCCTGCATGTCTATTTTCTTATTTTCCCTCTTATACAAAATGTAGAGTACTAAGGTTCCTTTTGGAACTTTGATGAAAATGTTACAAAGTTTAGATTACGGCAATGGTCGTATAACCCTTAAATATACTAAAAGCCGTTGAATCATCACCTTAAACAGATGAACCTTGTGATAGGCAAACGGTATCTCAACAAATCCATTTTTTTAGGATGCTGCATTCACTGATACAGACTGTTTTGTATCTTGCTTTTCCCATTTCACAATATAGCCTGGAGCTCTCTTCCCATCACTATTTGCAGAGCTTCCTCATTCTTGACGTATCCAGAGAGGATTGCGCTGTGTAAATGTTTCATCATTGTTTACCATGGCTGCAGCTGACAGACACTTGGGATCATTCCAGTCCTTTGCTTCTCTGGACAATGCTATAGAAATAACATGTTCCCTGTGTGGGCTGGTAACTAGAGGACAGATTCCTACAAGTGAATTGCTGGGTCAGAGGGTAGCTCTATTTGTCATTTTGACAGATATTGCAAGCCTCCGTCCAGAGGGTTGTACTGATTTTCACTCCCACTCCCAGTGCATGAGAGTACTTGCTTCCCCAAGCTTTGCCTACAATTGGCGTCAGGCTTT